CACTAGTAGATCTATTTGTCCACTGAGGCCCTGTTTGGTAGCTGAAAAGTATTTTAATTTTGAAAATGTTGTCCAAGAAACATTTTTTGGTGGGAAAAATGTTTTCTTGAATTTAAAGGTGTTAACTTGATGTTATAATGCTGAAACATTTTTCCACAAAAGTTTGAACAATGGGGGCAAATATCTATTTTCCGGTGCCGAATTCATGAAAATATTTCTGGGAAAATGTATTGGCTTGCAGAAATCCGAAAAAGAACACATTTTTCTAGATAATTTGTTTTGTATCTGTGCTCTATAGGTCTATTTTGCTTTCTTTTGCTTGTCTGGGAGTACCTAAATGGGGACTGGACCACAAAACAACAGACTGTCTGCAATCTGCATCTTGATTCATGTAAATAGAGACCGGGTGGGTGGGTGGATGTCACTATTTCTTGTTCTTAACAAAATTGAGTGTAGTAAGACATTGATTGTAGGTCATCTTGGTCCCTGATGAGATGTCTTGTTAACTGATGCCAAAACAGAAACAATCTGTCTTTTCCTAATAATTCTTCCCTCATGGAGAAGTATATAGAGATAAAAGAGTGTGAAGAAACTCTATTATGGATGGTAAAATTGGACAAGTGATGTGACATGATGTCTGAGACAAAGGAATATGCTTCTTGTAGCATTCTGCAGAATGGCTTCTGGATTGGGGAAATGTTTTTGTCTGCAATGAGTGAAATGAATCATTTTGGTGGTATTAAACACTCCTTCCGTCTTTTGCTCAAATTTCCCGACCTTAAGTGTAAATTACACTAAAGGTTAGCAAATTCTAGTAGGCAGATGGAGACATGGAGTATGTTTGTGCCACCTCATTTCCTAGATTTTGGGATCTGGTTTTTTGGAGAAACTCCACCGTTGAATTACCACATGGACGGTCCATATTGGGTTTGGGTAACTTTTGCTTTACCCTAAATCAAGCTGGACCATCCATATAGTGACTATATGGTCGTCCCGGTGGAGTTTCAAAAAATGCATTACCCCAACATTGACAGTTCCTGGAAATGGCTTTGGTTTTAAACCTTGATAAGCACAGGAAATATGAAGCTTACGCCTCAAATATGCACCAAAATCTCATATTAGCATTTAAATAATACTGGCAATTTCCAATTGGGAAAACTTCAATTACTCGCTGATCGGTTTGAATGACATAAATTACCCAAATTGAGATCCGTCTTTTTGCAGTTTCCGCCATGGAAAATATGTTTCTGCTACACATTGTTTTAATGTATGGACATGTCTTTGTTTAGGGGAGCGGATGGCATATTCTGTTGGAGGAAATTTTACTCCCCATGTTATCACAGTTAGTGCTGGAGAGGTAGGCGTCTTAATATTTCTCTTTTCCTTTAAAAACAATGTTATACATTTGGGTAAATAATGGACTAAACCGAAATGTCACATTAAACTTCCTTTACTTCTTACTTTCTTTCAAGTCTTGGGGTCTAAGGGGAAGAATTCCCGTGTGGGTGAGTGCAGGATGTTACGATGAAGATCATATCGTTTGCTCAACAAGGGTGTAGAGCTATTTGTGTCCTGGCTGCGAATGGTGTAATTTCGAACGTCACCCTTCGCCAGCCTAATTCTTCCGGTGGCACATTAACCTATGAGGTTCAGTCCTATATCCTCACTTCTTAGAACAAAACATTCCTTCTGTACACTGTGGGTTACACCATGGCGTACACCAAAACACTCCTGGTTTACAACACTTGTCTGTGTGTGTATTGTTCTTCCCTGATAAGTGTTGTTGGTGAAAAATTCACACACCCACAAATGTTGTCAATGAAAACCGTACTTGCCGACAAAAAGTGCCCTGGCTTACACCATAGGGCATTCTTTTTTTGCAAAAAAGGGGGAATTCATTTCTCTTTAGTGAGATAGCAGTTGTGTTAATAGTGGAATCTCGGTGGTGGGCAGGGACGGTTTGAGATCCTATCTCTAACGGGATCATTCACGCCAAGTGAAATGGGAACGACAAAAAGCAGGTCTGGTGGAATGAGTGTCTCTCTCTCAGGCCCGGATGGTCGTGTCATTGGTGGAGGACTTGCTGGAATGTTAGTAGCTGCAGCTCCTATTCAGGTTCTCCCCCACCCCCCATTTGTCCTATTCACACTCTTTATTTGTCAGACTGAGATTATAGCTCAATTTATCTCTGGGTATTTGATATCAGGTGGTCGTTGGCAGCTTTCTTCCGGGACATAATCTGGAGCACCATAAACAACCTCCAAAGAAACCCAACATATATGAGTACCATCATCATCCACATACATCATCATCACCATCACCAGCTCTTCAAAACACTCACCAGTATATCCCACCCACCAATGGCTCCGTGTTTCACCACGGCGACATGCACTGTAGTTCATCGTGACCGTCTGCCGATCGATGATGTCATAGGTAACACATATTGTCAGTTTCCCATGGGCCCCATCCAGAAGGCGTGAGAGGATATGATCGTGAAGTCTAATGTTGTGGGCCACACGAGGCGTGTTTGGCTGCTGTCGCCTGTTTTTTTCCTTAGGGCTTTCATAGATGAGACTTTCTGAGCAGAGGGGACTTTTCCTCTTATGAGAAAAGTTCTTCTTTTTCTGCTGGTAGTGTAATAATACTTTAAATGACCAATGCTTATTATTTGTTATGTGTGGTTTTATTTGGTTTCTTGTAGTGATTCTTCAATGTCTCATTGATTTGTAAGGGCATTTAGATCATCACTTATTAGGGGAAGCAATGCATCATATTTATTTCTGGTTTTAGAAGACAGAAATGAAACCATTTCATGGCATTAGTTTCTTATAAGTTGAAAAAACTATGTACTCCTAATATAAAAAGAAAAGGTGGAGAAAATACATACCTTATATTTGACAGATAAAAAATTCACTTAGGGTGTAGTAGAACAGCATTTTTATGGGCATTATGTTGAACAAATTGCTTATTCACAGACACTAAGTATCTGTGTTTGCCTGCTGTAGAAATGAGGTATTCCATTTTGGTGTACCCCTAGGTTTATTCTTATCCACTGTATCATTCGACCCAAAACTAAAAATATGGACCAAATTTGACCGGTCCAAACCAAACCAAGACTGAGAGGGTGTTTGGGAGTGATTAACTTATGAATAAAGTGATTTTTCACAAAAGCTTAAAGTAAAAATACTCATAATTGCTTCTCCAAAATGGTGTTCTACATACAAAATTGTGGTAGAGAAAAGCAGAAGCTAACATGTCAGATAAAGTAAAATGACTTCCATTCAAAGCAGAAGTTAAATTTTTTAAAAATAGTACACTGCCAAACACCTTCTGAATAAGTAAGGTCGTTTCTATCCCGTCCAATTGAACACAAGAATAAATGTACCAAACTCAAATACTAACAAAATATCTATAAATATTTATGAATTTACTTATTATATAAAGCATAATTGTTGGTATATTTTGACTAAAATATATTTTTAAAAATCTCTAAAAAATTATTTTGGTATACCATATTGGCAGTCTTGTTTAGGTTAATATTTACAGCGATAAATTATAAACGTTAGATCATTTATAATATTAAAAATTATATTCTTTTTTTAGCAGAAAATAATATTCACTTTAATTTGCAATACAATATGCTTCCGGAGTAGGTCTTTTAGGGCAAACCACTTCGGACCAATTTTTTCAGGCACAACCCAAAATCAAATTTTGTTGGATCCAAATCATCCAATCTAAGGCCTAAACTTTTTTGGGATTTAAGTCTTAGATGAAAACCAGTTTTGGACCAATGAACAAAGCCAAAACAAGTCAACAAATGGTTTGGTAATTAAAACTGTGATGTCTTAAAACCAATCAAAATCAACAAAGGGTTTGGTAATTAAAATGAAACGCCAATAATAATGCCACTAAGAAGAATATATAGGGTTCTAAACTGACACAAAACTCTTAAGATTTCATATTACAATTGAAATATATCACGGAGTATAGATAGAGTGAGTCTCTGTATCACCACAGCAAAATTGGTTTGGTAACAAAATGCATTAAGAAAACCAAGTGGGGGGAAAGGGGACAAAAAGAGATTGAGCTTCCAAAATGAGAATGATGTGCTGACCATCAATTCACGTCAACTAACTCAACTTCAAAAACCAGCCATGAGTTTGGCGGTATCGATGGACCAGCGCCTTTTTGCCCATAACTGCAGTGACACAAAAATAGTTAATTAATTAAATAATCAAAATAAATAAATAAAGAGGAGTTGTCATATAAGCGAGACAATGGCCTTCTTTCGAACCCAGTTTTTCGTTATAACTATTTGTGTTAGTTGTTTGTGTTTGCTTTTGAGGTAGAATGCTCCAAAAGGCTTGAAAAGGAACTCTTTGTAAAGCTCCGATCTTGCTAGAATATTCCTCCTTCCGTGCCAGAATTATGTTCCTCTCTAACACAAAATTATCTCATTTTCTTTTAAGAAAAGATTTGGGTTTCATACTATTTCTGTCATCGCAAGAAATCTGAATCACAAAATTTATAGTTTCTTAAACCCCATTCCCGTGCCTAGGGAGTGTGACATAATTCTTAGGTGTAGGTAATAAAGAGTTATGTTATCATGTGTGGAGGAAGGAAATTACCCCATAGCCGGAGGGATTGTGAGTCTTCTTTTATCTCCAACACGCATGCCTGATGAATGGGAATATATTAGTAAATACAGATATTAGCAGTGTTAGTGTTAACCTAAGTGAATGCGGAGAAGATTGGTCTCTAAATGAAAGTACATTTACTCCGTACCTATAACACCAACATCCCATCCCTTTATAACTTGACCAATCCCTGCAAGGAAAGTCAAAATATAAATTCATAGTAACGAAATTCCATTATTGATTATTTCATCAGCCAAACAAACAAACGGGATACCTAAACGGAATTGAAAGGGTGCTTTGCCAACATTTGAGTCAAAAATTCTCCCATTCTTCTGCAGCTTGCCAATGTAATGGACCTTAACCTGTAAAGGTGGCATAAGTACATGTAAGTTGGAACCAAATTTAATTTGTATAGACTACAAATATTATGTTAAAAATATCAAAACTCATGCCCTCTGAGTGCCGGGTTACTTTGGTAATTAAAATATGCTATTCATAGTATCTGATACACTATATGTTAAATTGATGAGAGGAACAAATATATTCTCTGTAGTTCTTAACAATCATATGTCAAATCTTAGCAATTATTTGTTCTTTCCATTATTGGCTATTGTAATCTTCCACAGTTCATGTTTTACTTTACATGGATACAATAGGTAAATACTTCTGTCCCACATATTGTATGTGTGAGTGGAAAGGGGGGGGGGGAGTAGCTAGATTCGACTCCCAGGAACAACAATATGGGACGACCATGCACAACACAAAGCTGTGCATGTATGAGGGATAGATCTCACTTTTGAAAGAGCAAGATTATAGCTCATTTTACATCTTATCAAGTAACTGTACAATCGGTCTGGAGGAGAACCTAAGAGTTATAGCTCATTTTGTTCATCCATCCCTTAAGAGTGACATTTCAATAACGTAAAACTTTTAAATTTTAATAGGGTAAAACAATCAGAAAAAGTCAATTACAGGTATACTTAGAAGATTGTTTTGCTTTAATTAAATTTACCTTGTTCGTGATGCTTTTATTACATAAAAACATCGCATATAATGAGAATCAGCTTATTTTGGAGAAAAAATAAGTTCAGAAAGAATATTTTTATGGGACAGAGTACTAAATTGTGTAGTTTTAGTTTTTCTTCTTATATCACAGCATCAATGAAAAGAATGACATGAGTTCAAGTACTACTAAAAAATTGGGAAAGAAAGCAATCACCTTCTTTCCGGATATAGCTCTTTTCCCATCCGGTTTACCCATTGATAACTCTTCTATGATCAATCCATTAGGATAGGTCCTCAGTGGTGTGGGCTTCTCCTCTTCCGCAACAGAAGAGTGAATTTCTTTCCCGCCACTCTGCTGTCCATCACTAAGTACTCCAGTATCCTGTTTCTTCTTCTTCTTCTTTTTATTCTTCTTTTTCTCCATCTCACTGGGAATTCATTTTAATAGAATTAGTTGTGATACTAGGAACTCCAAACTTGCAAGGAACTAAAGCTAAAACTTCAGCAATGTTTAAAGGAAGCTCAGAAACACAATAAGATAAGAACTTAGATCTTCAGCGTAAAACAAATAGTTCATCAAATAATATCACAGGAGCTACTTTGTTAGATGTCACAAGAGCTTAGCAGAACATACAAAGGGTCACATAAATCACCTTTCATTAGTTGTCTTGCCATTGTTTCTCATTTCAGCCGATGGACTTTGCTCCTTAGAATTAACATCAGCATTATTAGAAGGTGTCATGCTTTCTAAACCAGTTTCCTCTCTGACTGGAACATTTTCCTTCTTATTCTTTTTTGTTTGCTTAGCGCTGTATCCAAGAACAAAAACGACATATATGATATATCTAAGGAGATTGATACTTTGCATAAAACATGTGTTGGACAAAGGAATACACGCTAATGCAAGTGCACAGAGTGATAAGTTTAGACACAAGTCGACAAAAAAATATTCCAAATTAACCAAACATTTTTTGTATATCTCACTTGGAAGTAGGGTTTAGGATAGCAATATGTAAGCAGACCTCAACTCTACTCCAAGGCAACACGAAAATCAATAAACAGGTTATACACGAGACAAAACACTCTGAGTTCTTCAAAAAAAAAGCTCTGAGTTTTTTTGCAGAAATCTGTGCTTACATAAAAGCTAAATCATCAGTACATATAAGTGCAACAACAACAAGCAACAAAACAAAAGTACATATTCCCAGAGAGGTTTGAATGGAAAACTCACCTCTCAAATTTTGATGTTTCACCAGCAGAATCAATTTTTCTTTTTACACTCTGGATTTTTTCAGCTGTTTTATTGTCTGTTTCTAGGGATTTTGGTTTGTTGATCACTGCTTCAGTGGTCCCCTTAGGTGAAGTAGATATTGGAAATCCATCTTCATCTTCACTTTCATGAATAGGAGCATTATTATTGTCCTTGACAACTATCTGCTGTTCTGAGTTTTTTGGGCCTCCAGAGAGACCATTTTTCTTCTTTTTGGGTGGGTTAGAGATGTCATTCTCAACAGAAAGATTCTTATCCTCAACAATTTCCTCAATTTTTACTCCGCTGTTTCGGACCGGTGAAGATGGGTACAAGTCAAGATCACAATCATCAAAGTCATCCTCCTCAGAATCATAAACAGAAACATCTGAACCAATATCTTCATAGTCATCCTCTTCGGAACTATATCCATCTTCTTCATAATCTTTACTCTCACCCAAAAAGAAACCAGATAGGTAAACATGGTGACCGCCTTTAACTGACAAGGTAACCTCCTCTTCCTCCTCAAACTCAATATTCAAAGGGCACGTCTCAAGTCTTCCGGGAAACAAAGAGCACAATGAAATAGGTGCCTTGTCTCCAACAACACATTGAACTGTGGTCTTTTTTTCGGATGAACCAGCACCTAGTGTTGCCTGAACAATTCAGGCGAACGAAAAAGAAAGCAAAACATGTAACTAATAGATTTTCTGGAAATTCAATTATCTCAGATAAACAAAAGATCTCAGGGAGCAGAAGATCGGTTATCACTACAAACG